GGGAAAAATAGTTGGAGGCATCTCAGAAGTTTGAACATTCTTCTTTTTATTATTCAACAAACTCAACTCGACAGATTCAAAAGGATACAGCAAACGTAACTCTGGCAATATTCTATAACTTTTAACTTTGACATCTGGAGTTATCAGATCACTTCTTACAGAGGGGGCAGACCAAACCGCTCTCTGTCCGTTATCGGCCTCAACGAAGTACTCCTCACGCCACAGGCTGTCCCACAGCAGGGATGCCTCGCCCAGTCCCCCTCGCGTGGTTGGTGGGGAAAAGAGGGACTGGGACGGATCACCCTCTGCCCCCACGCTGATTGTGTGGATACACAACCACGGTCCATTCTAGAGGCTCAAGATCTTCCCCCTTCGCGCGGTAATCCTTCGGGTCAGACAGTAACCCACCTCCAAGCTGGAGATTTGGAAAGTTCTTCAACAGTCCATGCCATTCTCCAAATCCGCTGCTCAGCTCAGTCTGCACAGCACGATCCTTCCTCTCAGGTATTTCCCCACCGGTCACAATTCTGAATTCCCGTGCATTCACTCCCTCACTTATAACCTCCTCCCACACAATTAGATCACACGCCTCCCCTTTATCCTCTGCTAGACACACCTCCAGGGACCCCTTCCATGCCGTGTCACTCTGCTCTATTTCCACTAACACTCCCTCCACACAACCTTGACTCTCCTCCAGCTTCTGCTCTATAGAGGACGGCACACTGGCCTTCTCACCTTCACAACAAGCCACAAATGCAGGATAGACCTTATTTTGGCCCGTCACCATCTACCGCACCATCCTTTCGACCCCAGCAACAGCGACCATGTCGACAACCCTTTCGACACCAACAGAAGAAGGGTAGGTAATATTAATAAACCCCTTCCATCTTCCACCACTATTTCCACTCCATTTCAAACCTTTCCTCAGTGCATTGTGTCGAATCACCAAGGACCAATGGGTCCTTTCGATTATCGAAAAGGGCTATTTCATCGAATTTCAGCGTACTCCACCTTTCACTGTCATTAAAACTCCTCCCCCCTCATTGGCACTTCCAGAAGAAATTTCCCTTCTTCTCCAAAAACAAGCCATAATCTTCATCCCTTCCTCTGCCCTGCATGATGGTTTCTACTTTAAATACCTCACTGTACCGAAAAAGGATGGATGACTCCATCCCATCCTTGACCTTAGAAACCTCAATAAATTCATTTGGCCTAGGCATTTCAGAATGCTGACAATTGACACGATAATTCCTCTCCTTTCCCAGGGAGACTGGTTTGTTATCATCGATCTCCAAGACGCGTATTTTCACATCTCTATCCATCCGAGTCACCACAAATTTCTTCAATTCCGATTCGACAGCATCTCATACCAGTTCTGTTCGGACTCTCCACGGCACCAAGAACCTTCACCAAGTGTATGGCACCAGTTGCTGCCTACCTCCTCCTTCAGGGAATCACTATATTCCCTTATATGACTGGCTGATAGTATCTGCTTCCTACTATTATGCCATCAGAGCTACCTAAATTACTCTCGACACTCTTCAAGATCCTGGTCTCAAGGTGAACCATGCCAAATTCTATCTCAAACCATCACAGATAGCCACCTATATAGAGGCATACGTAGGTTCCATTCTATCTTGAACCATCACAGACAGCCACCTATATAGAGGCATACGTAGGTTCCCTACAAACCAAAACCTTTCTCCCTTATGAGAGAATAATGAAACTCAAACGTACTATACAACTGTTCCGACCTCATGCTTCAGTATCAGCTCATCAAGCCCAACACCTCCTCGGGCTCATGGCATCCACTACCGCCATTATCCAGCATGCCAGGCTAAAGATGAGGTCTCTTCAGTCATGGTACCTTTCCCTATTCGACCCCATGACACATAATCTATCCATATGCCTCAGGGTCACAAGTGAACTAGCCCAACAACTTACATGGTGGACACTTCTCCCACATTTTCTTGTTGGAAGAACCTTCTCCCCTCTCCAGCTCATGATACAGGTTACCATGGATGCCAGCCCGTTGGGACGGGATCCATGGACTCTAGACAAAACAATAGCAGTCATTACACATCAACCACCTAGAGTTCTTTGCTGTTATCAAAGCTTTCCATGCCTTCCTACCCATCATTGCAGGATGTGCAGTCCAACTTGCTATGGATAATCCGACAGCTCTTTATTATGTCAGCAAGGCAGTACACAGAAGATAGAGGTCGCTCAACATTGACCTCAAGTTGGTTAACCCCCAGTTCTTTACTGTACCTAGCTGTCGAGCTCTGGGAATGGTGCTACCTTCACCACATCTTCCCAGTAGCAGTCCATGTTGCTATGGACAACAAGCTGCTTGCAGACCATTTCAGTCACCTTACAACAAGGACACATGAGTGGTCTCTAGACAATGAAGTCTTCCCCTTCTTTGCCATCGATGGGGGACGCCTTCCATCTATGTTTTTACTACCAAGAACAATACCAAATGCCAACTACAGTACATTGTTCCTGCGCCGGTATTGACAGAAGCTCTTTTGGAGACGCCTTCATGGGTCATTATAGCTTGTCCTTAACGCAGTAACCCGGCCTCTCTCTGAACTGATGGCTAGTACTAACCTCAAACTGCTTTCCTTGAAAACATCATTCTTAGTAGCCATAACATCAGCTACACGTGCTAGCGAACTGACAGCTTTTAGACCACCTTTTCTGCAGTTCCATCCAGACAAGGTCACTCTATACCCAGATGTTTCATTCCTGTCTAAGGTTGTATCTGATTTTCATCTTAATCAACCTATAATACTGCCTACCCTATTTTCATCTCCCTCTACACCTTTTGAGTGCATGCTCCACATGCTTGATATTAGACATTCCAAATTGTTTAGGAAATCATCAAGGCACCTTTTTATGCTTTCATGGCCCTAATAAAGGTTCACCAGCTTCACCTCAAACGTTGGCTAGGTGTATTGTTCAAACAATTTCACTGGCATATGAACTGGCAGGCAAAACACCACCTGAACCCTTGAAGGCTCACTCGACTAGAGCACTGTCTACCTCCATTGCCTTCCAATGAGGAATAGAAATCCCTCACATATGCCATGCAGCTACATGGTCCAATCCATCAACGTTTGTCACACATTTACTGTTTAGATGTCCGGGCAAAGAAAGATGCTGCTTTCAGCAGAGCAGTATTGACTTCCTTTCTACCGTGATGTCCCACCATCCGGTAAGGAAGCTTGCCAATCACCCAATTGTATGCATTCACAGAGGCCA